GACAAGATGAAAATATGAATTTTTCCATGTACTCAGATTTTTAAAAAAAGTTAGCAATAAATTTAATTTTTAAAAAACCAGTGTGGATCAAAAAGAAAGTATATGTAGATTAGATAGAGACCACAGGTTGCCACTTTATAAGCTCTGAGGGTGGAGGCATTCTGGGAAGGCTCCCTTTCCCCAGATAGTTTCACCAGTGACACTGACTGGAATTCTTTTTGACCAGAGCTGATTAGATATTCTCTCCACTGTTTGTCTCCAGTAGAACTTTCTCTTAAAATGAAAAATAGTTCCAGGGGTACTTGTTTCTTCAATCTTTAAAAAATAGCCAGCCATTAATATCTCAGTCCAAACTGAATGAAGTCTTTGGAAACTTCAAGTTATTAAAAGAGACGCAAAAGAGGTTTTCTGCAGATAGCATCTAGTTACAGATGGCCAGTCTACCAGTGCTCACATAATTTCTAGGAGTAGAGACCTTGGGCCACCCACTCCATTATTAGAAAGCTTTAGTTGATTATGATAAGACAAAATTTGTCTCATTGAATTATCTGTAGTAGTCTCCTGAAACTATACATTATAAGCCTCATAATTCCTTTTTATATGAGAATCCACCAAACATCTGAAGGTACATTTGTGATTGTCTCAATTTTTTGTCTAAATCTCTAGCTATTTTTCATTTTGCAAGCATCTCATTACTGCTCCCACTGTTCATGAGCAGATCTTTGTTATAGTGCTCAATGCATGGTTTTCTAATTTATTCAAACTAGACTATCTTTCAGAGCAGCCTGAGTTTCATGGGAGGTTGGGAGCAAGCTCTATGAATTTCTGTACTCATAGTTTTCACATTGTGTTGCACATAGTTGATACTAATAATTGATGGGAAGGAAGAAAGAAAGGAAAAAGGAAGAAAAGAAAAAAAGAAAGAAGGAGAAAAGATGAGAAAAACAAGAAAGAAAGTGAAGGATGAAAAGAAGGAAGAAAGGAAGAAAAGATGACAGGGAGAGATAGAAAGAAAGGGAAATAGAGGATCTGTGAAAGAATTATTAATATGGCTTCCAGATTCATCACTTTTTCTCCTATGGACATATCTCTGTCACTACAGTTTTTAAAACATGGGACTTTAAACCATGGTCTGAATATAGAATATTAGGACCACCAGCTCTCTTGACCTGCACCTAGATGGCTATTGATGCACCCTGAGAGTGTATCAGTTATTTTTTGTAGGAAGCATTCTTGCTGGCTACTAAGATAGCCATGACTATCCTTGTGTTTTTTCCTTCTCCCTACATAAACCATTACTAAGTCAGGATTCCTTAAATTCTCCTGTATGTGAAACTGGGCATTTGAGACCAAGTTCAACACTTTCTATTTGTCCCATTAAATTCCACCTTATTTGCCACCTAACATATAGAAAGATCTGTGTTAGATTTAGATTTTGTTGTCCACCCCGTGCTTTCTTTTATTGCCTCTCTCAGAGCTCAGTGTGCTACCAGACCCATTGCTGGTGTAGAGTTGGGGTGAGAGTCAGCTGAAGTCACTGGGTTGGGGGAATGTAATCCACAGCATAGTATGTCTTCAGCAGGACAGGCCTGGGTGGGGCCCTCTAGCTGGGGTCCTCTGGGGCATATGGAAAGGAAGTAACTCTCAGAGAGAAGTAACAGGGCTCAGACACAAGGTCTTTTGATGAAAGAGAAGTCTGGTCTTCTTCCCAGATCTATCTAGAGCTTGGTCTGACCATTATACTTTGGAAATGGGAACATTCCTTATTTACTTTCTCCCTCAGCACGTAATGAATTAATGAGTTATTTTGCAGAGACTCCAAACTATCAATGTACCCCCCAAATTTCTTTCAGTGGAGAAAAATGCATGCGTTTCTCATTCAGATACAACAATGTTGGCATCATGATTCAACATTGACCTTGAATCCTCATTAAAGTGATGCTGATGGTAATAATGCCACCTTATTTTGTACAACAGTTTATGCTTTTGGGAACATTTTTATTTAAATTCCTGGTAAGCCCTAGATTCTCAAGTAGCCTAATGAAAATCATAAGGGTCATGGCTCACTCTGTCTCATAGGCACTCACATCCATGGACAACGGGACGGGCTCCAACACTTCATGAAAGCCATGCTTACTCCAGAGAATCATCAAAGTCAGACTGTGAGGAAAATCTGTGGAAGAACTTCTGATGGAAGGGTTCCTTTGGGCATTTCACTTTTTTTTTAGTAGTTATTCTGTAATTATTATGTTCTAATCCTTAAGATTCTGATTTAAGGAGGAGGATGCCTTTTTCAAAACCTAGGACTAGCTTCCATCACTGTATCCGGTATTGTTTCTTTATAAAAAATAAAGGAAATATAATTGGATACTTTGCTTTGAGACAGAAAAATATTATTTGCCTATAAATGTGTAATATTATATATACAGCAGAGATTTTTAAAATATCAAAAGAAAGATCTTTTAGGTTGGATTTATCAGATATCTGTTGATGTTACTGGTTCTACTAAAGAAACAGCCCTTGGAATATTTTATTAGTTAAACTGCTTCAATTTGTTTAAATTTGTTAATGCATTTTATCTTCTTTTCCTTGCATGTTCCTTAGATTTTAAAAAACTCTTTCACTAATTTATATTTCACTTATTTTTAGTTTTCATTTAATAAGAAATGTATTAAGAATCTGTGAATTTGCTAGGATCAGATCTTGTAGGTTTTGATATTTCTGTGCCATATTTGTTGATTTTACATATGAGGTGTTTTTGTCGTCTTGAATAACTTAATGGTATGTAAGGGAGATTTTTATTTACTTGTTGAGTCTAGAATTATTGAGGAAGACATTTTTCTACTGTCTTAAGTGGTCAAGATTTTTATTTTGGTCCTCTTCTATCTTTGGCTACTAATTTCTAATTGTGCTTTATTTTAATTGGGCAGTACAAAGATATATTAACTTCATATGATTAAGTGAAAGGAATTAACAAAAGTCAAAAAAGCAAAAGTCAAAGCTCCTGTCTTGGAGGAATACAGGAATTAGGACATTCAGCCAAACTTTTATTGACCACTTGTTAAGTACGAGACACTGCTAAGCAGTGGGAAGTAGAGAGAAATGACATTCCTTTGGTGTCTTCAAGAAGCATTTAGGAAAAGAACTGATTATGCTAGTGAATTAGAAATTGTGTTCATTGTCTTCAGACTTTCTGATGCATTACAAGGTTGCAACACATCCAGCAGGATCACTGAACAGAATGACTAGGTTTTCTTCATGAATAGGACAATTACCTAATTAGCAGACTTCCTTGTTTTCTAATTGCTTTAATATCAGGGAACGATAAAGTTTACACACACACAATATACAAGATTAAATTAATCTAAATAACCCATCCATGTACTCCACCAGAAGCGCGGAGGTGATTTACCTTGAAAGGAATGAAGCCTAACTGAGACCCCTCATTGCACAGGTCCCTTCCAAGGCCCTGGCACTGTGCTCACATGCTCAGAAGTTTCTGTCAAGTTTGTAAAGGTTTGAATTTTTTTCTTAAAGAGATTCTCTGGATCAATCCCTGTGGCAAATACATTTGCCCGTATAAATGTCTATATTGCCAGAAAACTGTTTATTTAATCATCAGTAGGTCATCTTTTTGGATTGATTTTGGTGAGGAAATGAAAACACATTTCACAATAGTCAGCAAGTGTTTTACTAACTTTATATACAAGTATATATGCATGTCTGTTTGCACATATATGTATGTATTTACATAATTAGGCACAAGTATTGCTAACACCTTTATATATTTACATAAATACTTAATGTTCTGATGTTGGCACAGATTATTTAGTGTTTAACTCCTTGCAAGTCTTTCAGTTGTTCTAAGATACAGCCAAGAAATGGGAAAGAAATCGTCAAGGAATTCTCTCATTAATGACAATAAAATATGCCATCGAGTTTGAAAAGTGTAAGTTTGAAAGGTCTGAAAGTTTTTCCTTCAACCTTGTTATCGAGGTTTCATGACATTTTTTTATTGATAACAAATGACTGGCTCTTGGTATTTTGGGAGGCTGGAAAGGTGATATCAACAGGGACTCTCAGTAGTGAAAGATTCTGGGACTCACGCGAAGAGTTTATTTTTCTGCTATCTCCAGCATCCAGCACAGTGCCTGGTGTGCAGTAGATGTTTAAAAATACTTTCTAGGGCCCAGGGATTTACCTCAGTGGTTCTGCCGCCTGCCTCACAAGCTCAAGGTCCCGAGTTCGATCCCTGGTACCAGAAAAAAACCCAAAAAACTTTCTACATGAATGAAAGAAAAGTAACGGGATATATGTAGAATTATCTGAAAAGAGTAGCATGGTTGAAGTTTTAGGCAGCTCATTACAATATAAAATAAGAATGAGACCCCCCTTTTTATCACTTAGCTAAAACATGACTCACAGAAGCCTTCTTTATATAAGTGGAGATTTCTACATTAATGACAAAATTATAATGGCTCTTTACTGAGACAACTGATGTTGCAAACCATGACTTTATGAGGATAGTAGATTGAACAATTAAGAAAAATATATGAATTATGCAGAAAGGCCAGCACCAACCACACTGCAGGCCTATGGGGTAGTCTGCAGTCACTGTGGTCTGTGGCCACTGTGATCAGCTGGCATCTGTAGAACTTTTGTGAAGATGTAGGGTGACTCCACTTCTATCCAGAAGCAGGGTGGCAGTGGTGATCAGTTTTTAGTATTGGTGTGAAAATCCAGCATTTCTACAATTTCTTTGTAAATAGGTTCCATACAAAAGACAATTTGGACAAACTTTTTCAAACTTTCAAACAACTGATATTGCTTCTTTCTTTTTCTTCCCTAGAAGCAAATTTAGTTAGCAATTTCTACGCTTTTTTTATCCATTATCTTTTTGCCCTGACTCTCCCATTCCCCCTGTAATGAAGGAAACATGTGATTTGAACTCAGAACATCATCAATTATATGAAAGCAATTAGCACTTGATTTCAATTTACCTCCTGCACATATGGTGGATGGCTCAGCTGCTAGAATTTCAATGCAGGACTTCTTCAAAATCTAAGAAGAGAAAAAATAATATAGTCAATGTCCAGCTTATTTAGTTAAAAGAATTAAAACAGTGCTTTTAGCTACTGTGATAGGAAAGTTCAAGGACATTGTGCAGTGGGGCTTGGAGGGATAGTAGGATCTGTACTATTATCATCAATGCTAAACATTTCAGGAGCCAGATTATGCTATATGCTGTTGTGTCCCTGAAAAGCCGTAAGAATCATTCACTCATTCATCTCCCAATGGATATTTTTTGAGCTGATGATTCACCAGTCCTAGTTTAGGGAGGTTTAATATAGAGCTGCAAAAATATTCATTTGTGTGACATGATACATGACAGTGGGGGCAAGGATGGGGGGAGACAATAGAAGCTGTGAAGTTCATAGGCGGGAGATTCAGGGGCAGGTATTCTTCAAAGGGCTTCACAAAAAAGGTGGGAGCTGAACACAGATGTCAAATGGAGAGGAGTGGGTTAAGGGCAGGTTAGGGTCCAGGTAGTGAATAAGATGAGCAAAGGTGAGAAAGTAGAAATACACAGACCTCTTTAGCTGACCCACAAAGAGCTCAGAAAGTAGAAATAGAAGTCATAATGGATAAGGCAGGAGAGATGGGGTGGAGATGGCCAATTCCCCATAGGTGCTGCATAGTCAGATTACTCAAAGTTCCTTGTTGTTAGAAAAGTCTGGAAAGTGGGCTTTGTAGGCTGCATGTAGTTCCTCACTCTTTTGGAGGATTCCCTGAGCCTTACTAAAATTGAAAGGTATTCTCATCTACAAATTAGTCCTGTAGGACTGAGTGGGAGTCCAAGGAATCCCATGACCTCATAGGGAGTTACTAGTGCAGACTCTGGCCAGAGCAGTGTATTTGAATGTAGAACTTAAGCGTCTCTCTACCATTTATGAATCCTTCCTCTTATGGAATACTGATTATAAAATTTGAAACAAATATTTTAAACAAGTATGGGACATTGACTTAACTTAATAACCAAATGTGATATTTTTTCTTGGTCCTTAATTTGAAATTTGAGATGGTTTAAGGGTCTGATGAAAACCATTTCTTTATTTATGAAAAGGCAGTTGTTAAAGCTACTAATGATGTGATTATACAATTTAAAGTCTGTAAAAGAAGAAATCATTTTTTAGCACCGGGAAACACATTGATATATTTATTTAGATGTACTTCTTGTTCAGTTTAAGCTACACATACGCCATAAAATACAATCAAATAAAAGATGCCAGGGCTGGGGATTTAACTCAGTGGTTCCACTGCCTGCCTCAAAAGCACAAGGTCCCAAGTTTGATCCCCAGTACCCCCCACCCCCCGCCAAAAGTGCCATAAATTACAAGAAAGTGATAGATTCAAGGGAAAACAACAGAAAGTTGATGCAAGGAATGAGAATAGTGTATGAAAAATGTGCTGTGAGGAGCTTATTTCTTTACTAGGGTGGACTTAACTCTAAACTTTCTAGTAGCAAGTGAAAAAGCATTTATGAGTGTCTCAATCTGTGGAATAAAAACAAACCAGTTTATCATAAGAGATAATATTTACCCATTCTAGAGAGAATTCTGGGTGTCCTCATAAGGAAGCATTGTGAAAGGAAATGAACAAACAAGCTTAAGAAAAATCTCTGATGTGCAGATGAAAAAACATTAAAAGTTATTAGAATAGGTGCCCCCACAAACATGCCCTTTAGGTAGCTTTATATACCTGAAAGCCATAAGTTAGCATTTCTTTCTTTGACTTCTTTGGTTTAAGATATATATAATATAATATACACTATTATATTATAATAGATAATATAATATATACTATATCATATATAAAAATAAATGATATATATGAATATATATGAATATATATGAATATATATATTCAGATAAAAGATGCAATAAGTTACAATGAAGTGATAGATCCAAGGGAAATTTTTCCAGCTACTTTTCTGTCACAATTTTTTTTTTTTTGTACAACTTTTGTACTTTGCTTTTCCTATTTGTTTTCAGCTTCTTTCTGATTTTGCAGTTGGAAGCAGAAGTTGTTCCTTCAGCTCTTGCTTTATTCTCTTGGCCTCTCGCTTACCCAATTATAGTCCCTTACCTCCAAACTCAGGTGTAGCCTCAGTTCCTCGCTAGTGCCTGAGCCTGTCTGATGGCAGCAGGAAGTGAATGTTCTGGATGTGACATCCCTTGTGTATCTCTGTTGGAGTTTGTGGTCCTCACATCCCTGGCTCTGGGCACCTAGTATTATTGCTGAGCTCCTGCTTCTCCTTCCCTGTCACTCTGACTTGGCAAAAGGGATGCCAAGGTTATAACCAGGGCACCTAATTTTCTCTGCTGAGATCTCCATCCTCTCCTTTCCTGTGGGCTATCCAGTCTTTCTAAACTCTTAAGCCTGTAGTAATGTCCTTGGACTGGGGCTTTCCTGGATACTGGACAAAATGACTCACACCCCAGGTGACAGTCATCCTACTTGAGTGAAGACCAGCCCCCACTCACCCCTCAGTATGGTGCTAGTGGGCTCTTCCTGCCTCATGGCCACATCAGCCGTGGTTGCCATGACTGAGGGACACAGCCACCCCTTTTGACATATACTCGGGCATAAGACTCCAATGAGTCACGTTTGAAGAAACTGAATGATCTCAGAAGAAGAACTTCAGTAAATAGTGGCATTAGAACCACACAAAGCTGTTTTGATGTTTTAAAATTCCTCAATCATTTGACATCTCCTAATAAATAATTTCATGTACAACTAAAGATTTCAAAATAGTCTAAGAATAAAAACTAGTTATTGGTTCTATCCTGTCCCTATTTCCCTAAATACATACACAATATTTTCATTCATGTAAATTCTTGAGTTTAAATTATATTTTTGAACCAACTCAACATTTAACCAGGGGTTGGTAAGAAAGATACTTGTGAATCTTTGATCACAAAGACACACTAGTGGGGATTATTATAATAAGCATACATGTTCTAATTCTCTAAAAGTATCTGCAATTAGCTGATAAATTTAAGGAGTGTATGAAGGGCCAAAAAATATCAGCCAAATGCTGTGATTCAATCTAGTAAAAACACAGCTTTCTCAATCTTAATTTAAAACATGTGGAAGGGATGCATTACAGCCAATAGAGTAAAATTTATCAGTGGGGGGATGGGCAGGATTTGTCTGAGACTGTGGCTCCTATTAGTTTGAAATGTCTGTTTTCAAAGGTAGTAAGTCATAATGGTACTGAGTGGATGGGGGTGGCCTTGGTTATTAGCAGCCCAGACTATACTGTCATCTATCTGTCTGAACTTCAGCAGACAGCAGATCACCAGCAGATCAGGAATGGTGTATGTCTGGGAGTGAGGAAATAGAGGACCCCTTCCCTTCCCAGGCAGTAGCCATGGAGGAGGTGTAGGCACAGCACTGGGGAAAGCTGTAGCTAAAGGGAAATCACTAGATGGAGTGGAAGAGATGCATGCAAGGTTAGGTTGAGGTCAGAGGGGAGGGGAGGGTGTAACTGGTTCATAGAGGGGACCAGGCCAAGATCATCACATGCTTATGGTATAGTCTAATGTGAGCAGTCGGGTCTTTGTCCTGCCCCTCTACCCACCTGACTTATGCTTCTTGGTGAGTCTTTAAATTTTTTGAACCCCAATTTGGGACCAATTTAACACACTGAGTAATAACTTGGAGTTTGGAATCAAATTGCTTGGGTCAACTCACTCATGGGCAGTCCAATGGTGGGTGGGAAAATTCTATGACCTCTTTGAGTCTCTGCCTCACCTGTGCAAGTGAGATAACAACATGCACCTAAAGCACTAACATAAAGTTGCTGTGTTAGGAAGATAAATGAGATAACGAAGGCAGAGCATAACACAGAGTCTGGAACTTGATGCACCTTTAACGAATGGTAGTTATTATCACCAAAAACTTGGGCTCTGGAGAAAGATAAATAGATTTAACCTCTGGATGGATTTCTGTTCAAATCCAAGCCCCACCACTTATTGGGCATATGGACTTGCACAAATCATTGAACCCTGGAATTTCAGTTTCCTAATCTGTATAATGGGATAAGAAAAACACTGAGTTCAACAGGATGTATTCGATAAAAGACATAAATCTGGGTTTTTCTTTTGTACAATCAATTGGACTCTGTGATAAAATTTATATTGGATTGGAAGTGAGGAAGAGTGAGATTAAGGACAGCTACAAGGTTTTTTGTCTTACAGATAGAACTAGACAGATGTGATTGATCAATAGACAGTTGACCCTTGGTACATCAGCCAGCATGTGCATTTCATGAAAATAAGGCACCAAGAAATGTGTTCAGAGAAATCTTGGCAGTAAAGCACTTAGGATGTCTGACACAGATTCAAACAACGGTAGCTGTGTGTTGTTATTACTGCTGCTGCTATAATCCTTGGACAAGAATCGAAGTTAGTGTACACTTCCATCCCATCATTGGCCTCATGCTTAATCATATTTTCTGAAACTGAACCAAGGTTAATACTATTTTCCTGCCAGCCTTTGGACAGATTTAAAGAGAAAATAGATGGGGAACCAGGTTTGAAACTCATAAAGAGCTAAATAAATGCAATGTGTTGTTATTGGTAGGGTTACTGTTGCAAACCTCGTTGGGCTATTGGGAGAACAAGAGAGAAAGCAGATAGACAAGAACTTTGCCAAGTTGTAAGAGGTATTTAATGTATTTAAAGTGAAATCCACTGTGAACTAGTCCAGGTTGCATATGAGTTTGGATTTTTGGATTCTAAAAATCTAACATCCTTTGTCATAAAGTTCTCAGTTTATGCAGAGATTTCTCCAGAATCCTTAAACAACTGTGAATATTTGCACAGAATTATTAGGAACTGATAGATTTCCCTCACCTTAAGATGGCTGCTATATATAATGGCTGCCTCCTTCTTCCCATAATACCTTGGTTCCCACCTAAACCCAGTTCCAAGATGAGTAAGAAATTTTCCACCCAAAGTGGCCTTCTCTTTCCCATAATGCCCTGGTCCCCACCT